TTGTTTCTCTGGGGTTTCGACAGCCCAACGGTTCGAGTTTGGAGTTCCCCGAAAACCTGGAAAAACTAACCGGGCCCGGGGCTTGGAATTGCCCGAAACCCTGGAAAAAATACCCACGCCCGGGTTTTCGATTTTTCCAGAAATCCTGCGAAAACTCTACGCGGGTCCGCCGGCTTCTTCTGGTCGGGGTTTGGAATGTCCCGAAAACCTGACAAAAACTAACCCAAGCCAAGGGTTTGGAGTTCCCCGAAACTTCCAAAAACAAAATCCGACCCGGAGGTGTTTGTTTTTGCGAGATGGTACTAACTTGCACACGTGGCTTATGCGGGCAGGCAAAGCGCCTTTAGGAGAGTGTCTCGCAGTATCCGCACAGGAGACCAGTCTCAGCAGGAGGGCGAGGAGGATGAGGATGATGAGGACGAGAAGGAGGAGGGAGGAGGAAAAGGACGAGGACGAGGATGGAGGAGGGAGAAGGAGGAGGAGGACGACGACGGAGGAGCGAGGAGGAAGAAGGGAGGAGGGAGCAGGAGGAGGACGACGACGGAGGAGCGAGGAGGAGGAGGAGGAGGAGGAGGAGGGAGGAATGAAGAGTACGAGGAGGGAGGAGTAAGAGTAAGAGGGGAACGAGGACGAGTAGGAGGGACCATAAGGCTGGAGAAGGAAGCATGAGAAAGCGGAGTAGAAGGAGGAAAAGCACAATGGGGAGGGAGGGGGGATGAGATAGAAGGTATATGTTCCCACCCGCCCAGGACAAAGTGGAAAGAGGTTGAGGGCACCCCAAAGAAGGGGAAGAGAGGGTCCCGAGAGTCCGCCGAGCAAACCGCCCACGCTCGCAACTCTAGCTCATTAGACATCATGAGATACAGGGAAGGAAGAAGAGGAGGGAGAGGACCTCGCCCTCCGCAGAGTGCGTGGCTCTTAAAGCTCACGGCGCCTGGCAAGTGTGACGCACGGCAACGGAAGTGTCACGCGTGCCGGCTCCACGAAGACCGCGGCTTCGCCTTTAGAGAGGGTGTCCACCTCCGGTCGCCACAGCTCCTGCGGCACCAACTGGTAGCAAGTGGAGAGAGCGACCACGAACGCGAAGAGTCGCGGCTTGTCATGGCTTGTCAGCGTCTTCGCTCAGCAATCCCAGCCGCCACACGGAGTCGTCAAGCGGCGCCGGCAGGACGCGCGCGACAAAATCGCGTGAGAGGTCGCATTCCTTGATGTAGTGGTGCCTTCGTCGCCCCCTTGCCCTGGCATCCAAGCGCGCAGGTCGTGCACACCTGCATGCGGGTGCCCGTCGACCAGCAGAAGTTGCCCTCGACGGCGGCTGGGAGCGCATCTACGCGCCCAGCCGCGCCCAGTTTTCTTGAAACTGGGGAGGAACCACTCTAACGTGCGTCACGATGGTATCGATGATCGAGGACATGGGCAGCCACTCATGGATGGCTCTGCACAACGCACCTTGCACCCGCTGGCGTCGCCGACGGGGAGAAACGCCCCTCGCCTCATCGCGCGATCGCGCCAACTCCTGGAGCCCAGAGCCAGCGCGAAAGGCGAGCTGCGGATTACCCGACACCCTCCTGCAGCGCGCTCGAGGGCCAGCGACAGTGGCCTGCTCTGCCCCAGACGGGGGGGGGATTGTCTTTCTCCCACGCCGCGTAAAAACGCCATCATGCTCAAAGCCTCTTCTCGCAACGTCTGCAACACCTCCCGCCGCCGTGGGACCGTCTCGAGCGCAGTCCGCATTATGGTTGCCCGCGATCTCCCCAAGCGAAGTCGTCCAGGGGCCGCCGACATTGTGCAACTCGAGCTGGTCGGCGTGGCGAAAAACAGGGCTCGCGCACCTCACCAATGCCGCGTATCAATGCCCTCATGTCCACCGCTGGCCTACCCGAGCGGGAGAAGCTGCGCCTTGTCGCCCATTACCGGCAACACACGTTCCAGGTGGTAAAGCTGGATTGCCGCGGCGACATCCTCTCTGGTGCTCTTGGTGTTCCGCACGCGCAACGCCAAGTTCTGCACCGTGTCCTACCAATCGAGCCGCGGGGGCGCAACAGGCCCGACCATGAAGCCAAGGTAATTAGACGGCCATGTCGAACACCTCGAACGCTTCCGATGCCGGATCTGCCTGAACGAGCGCGCCACTCGCCGCAAGTACGGCTCCCCGGTCAGCGGGTCGCTGAGCGCCACCGAACTGCACTTCAAGCGGAGGCCAGCCAGTCTCGCGGCCAGAGCGAACACCACCGATTCCTGCTTGAGGGCGCAGGCGCCGCACGGTCCTGCCCACGTCGTCCGCGCACGCCTGGGTGGTCCCCTCCCTCTTAGAGTCCACCGTCTTGTGGAAGTCGTCGCTTAAGAGGTTGCTGTTGATGACGTGCAGGCTCCCGCTAATGGAGCGGCCCTGCAGCACGCCGCTCACCACGTCGTAGAGGTGTTCAAGCTTGCCCGCGCCGCACCAACAGCAAGTGCTGTGCCAGCAAATCACAGCCACAGCGTCTGCACAGGCCCTGAGGGGGGTGCAGGAATGCCAATCATAGGTGGGGCCAGGGCTGCGGCACCGACGTCAACGCCTGCTTGGAGCCGAAGGTGGGCAATGCGACGCCCTTGGGCGAGGAGGCGAGGCTCGCGACCCGAGCCGCGGCGTCAAGCTCAACCACATTTCGCAGAAACGCGCGCTGCGGAATGAAACCGTTGTGGATGATAGAACCGATGCGCACAGTGATGGCACGCAGCTGGATGATGCTGCTGCTGCTGCTGCTGCTGATGATGATGATGATGATGATGATGATGATGATGATGATGATGATGATGATGATGATGATGGTGATGATGATGATGGTGAAGATTGGTGCAGCGACTGTAACTCAGGCAGGTGGCCAAAGACGGGCCCCCAATGCCTCCTGAGCGCCTCGGCCTGCGCGCCGAGATCCTGCGCGTCCCTCCTTTCGGATGCCCGCTGTGTGCCGTGGCGCGCTGTTTCATGGCCACCGCCTGGCTCGGGCAACGACGAACGCCGCCCCTG